TGTTTGGTACCTTGTGTAGTATACTTGTTGACGCTGTTTGATTTGGTACTTCATTGTTTGACTCAATATGAGTTGATTCCGTTATTGAACTGTTTTTGCATTGGGATGATATGTGCCCTGTATTTTTGCAAATAAAGCAGGTGAGTGTACCTTGTGACAAAAATATGCGGTAAGGTGTTTGGTCGAAATTTATTAGAATAGAATCTGGAATTGGTGATGTTATAGGGCTTATATAAACTTGCCTCCGAAAGCTCAATATGTGACTATATTCGGGAAGGGTCGAGCTAATTTTCAGAAATGTTATTGGAGAAATAAGCTTTAAACCGATATTCTGTAATTCTTCAACTAATACTTGATGAGGAATTGACGGGCAGACTCCAGACAGGACTAGTCTTTCTGCTGGAGAGACAAGTCTTCTTGCTGTTACCACTTCGCCGAGTACTTCTATAGAGCCATATTGTGTCATGAAGTTATCTACTACGGTCTTGTTTGCTAAATACATGCAGATTCTATTATGAGATAATCTAGATGAAAAAATAATATTTTTTGGGTTGATGATTGTACCCAAAGGAATGAGATAATCCTGCAGTTTAGCATTATCGATACAACTAAATACAATTGCTTGGTTCTTACTCGGAAAAGAATGTGAAGCGGCTGAAGCATAACTGTTTGTGATATTCGATCGTTGATTTACTGGACTGGTTAGATCGGAAGATGTGTTTACATTGTGTGAAGTCATTTTGAGGTGCGGTGGCAAAGCCTTACTCCGACTCTGGTAAGTGAAAAACCAATCGCATGCTACTATAAGCTACTTATAGCAGCTAACCTCACAAAATGATTGTACGGTAGTTTATATTTATTATTTGACTTTTTTTTTCACAATAATAAAATAATAATTACGTATAGATGACTTACGTAGTAATATCTAGTAGATAAACACTTTAATTTTAAAAAACTATTTAATAAAACCACTTGTTTTTATTAAAAACTAGGAGTACGATATCGATACAACTTAACCGTACCTTGCCAGGGCCGGTCTCCTGCACTGTATACTGTTTAAATAGAATTCTTTTATTTCATTTATTAAAGCATTAATAATATAAATATAATTAAACTGTGCCATTTGTTTAAATAGGTATGATATGACAGACAATGACATTATCATCATTATTTTGTTCAGCCAGAGTATATACTACCACTTGTTCATCTTTGAAAAATGATTTCAAGATTCATCTTGTTGATAAAAATCATATTTTTACTTATTAGAATTAGCAAACATATATCATCGTGATAACTAGAATAATAAAACAATTGTAACGAATTATCTAGAAATAAAATATTTTTACACTTTACCTTAAACAAAAACATGTTTTGGATATATTAAACTATACAATTTTTAATTAATCATGATTTAACCTTTTCGCTTTTAATTATTTTATTAACGCAAATAATTTTTTATTTTATTAAAATATTTGCTATTTGATCCCATAATTGGTAAATGTCAGATGTCCAGAAAACGTCCGAGTTCGGACGTCCGAGTATGGACGTCCATGGAACGTCCGGGTACGGACGTCCAGAGAACGTCCATATTTAGTCCACCCAAAGTACGTCCCACTTCGTACGTCCATAGTACGTCCATTTTACGTCCAGGGACGTCCGGACCAAAACTGGACGTATATTGGACGTCCATAGGACGTCGTGTGTTACTAGGGTAATAAATAAAATTGATATCGAAAGTACTTATTAAAAGATTATATTGATAATTGGGACTTTTTTTTTAACGATTACAATATACTATATGATCTTTCTGTTATGTATACACCCTGTACATTTGTCTCTTATATATTTTTAATTTTCAACTTGTCATCACTTATTGTTTACCCTATCATATATGTATTAAGTTCTGCTTTACCTGAAGAATATTTTAATTGAACCTATTTTCAATATGTATTCCTTAAAATTCAAGATTATTACTTAACTCTTTCCAAAATTTCAAAATAAAACTTTACTTCCATTTCCAAAGGATTTTCTTTAATCTTTCCCACAAATTTTGGTTTCTCTTTAAAAGTATTTCCAAGATAGAATTTATCTTGATTTCTTTATCAAACAAAATGACCAGTTATTCTCAATTTTTCAAATAATTATGATATTTATGTTTCAAGACTATTTAATTACATTTTGCTGTGGCTGCTAAATATTTTATGTACTCACGTTGTTGAAGAAATTTGATACTGACTAATATTATGAACTCTTGGTGTTATCTGGGTCATATATTTCGAAATTCCAAGTACCAGTTCTTAAAGCTTATTATGGAAGGGAAGATAGAAGGAAAACGAGGCATCGGAAGAAAGAAATGGAATGTAAAGGTAGTGGGGACAAAAATATTGTTAGACAGGAAGTGCCATCTTGAGAGGCCACTTTAAACAAGGAAAGACAGTCTCTTTCCTTGTTTAAGAAATCAAATTTAGTTTGGTTATGTTATTGTTTGTCGGAACTGTCACATGAAATTTTATTTACATTGAAAATTTTTACCAATTGTGTCACATTTTAGACTATTATCGTTCATATTTAATTAAAACTTTCTCGTCTGAAAAATATTTTATAGCTATTGTTAATAAGTGCCGAAAAATTTAAATTTAGCGCCTTTGCATTTCCGGATATGTCCGCCATCAGAGGCCACTTTTTTGGTCTCCTTTTCATAATGATTAGATTCCCTCTTTTGTCTTTTTGCTCGATGGATTGGACAAACCTCGATGCCCATGCACTTTTTAGTGCCACACAAGATCGAGAGGAGTATGACAGAATTGTCGCTAACATTCACTAATTGGATAAGGCACCATGAGAAGAAGAGACATTGAAAAAAACAATAACTTAAGTACTAAGCCTATGACTGCATTACAGTTTCGCAGTAAACTAGCTGATAATTTGATTGGCAGTTTTACTTTCACACAAAAGTCTGGACTTCCATCAAACTCAACTTTGAATGCTGGTTCACACTTACCCACCAATAGGCACTGTGCCCTTTGTGCTTCATCTAAAAGAAATATGCAGCAATATGATTTGTTAATTTTGTAATATTGCTCTATGCAAAGACTGCTTTGCAACCTACCATAGTAGATAAAAAGTTCTTAGATAATAAATTTAAAATATTCCTCTATTTAGTTTTTTTATATTTTCAAAATAAAGTATTGTTTTTATAAATTTTTGTAATTTTTTTTACCAATCGCTATCCATTGCCCAGTATTAGTTGTTTGTCAAAATGCACACTGACAGCTATATCTACCACCCTTTCCAGTCCTTCTGACAAAGAAAAAAATTTTTAAACAGTTTTTGTCTTGTTAATTATGCATAATGAATTACTTTTACTATTCAAAAGTATATTTTTACAAAAAAATATAGTTCTGGCTGTTAAAGCTCATCATGTAGAGTAGTTCCTTTGTATTGTTACTTATAAGTACCTACTATGTCATTGGCAAATATAGGATGACTTAAAAATCTGTCATCAATTTTAATTCCCTGTTGTTTCCATTTTAACTTCTTGAATGCATCTTATAATTCAAGAATAAAAATGATGCAAGAAAACAACAAAAAAAGTTTTTTACATATTTTTTTGCAATTATATAAATCAAAAAATTTACACAAAAAGCTATTCTCTATATAAACAGTTCTGCTCTGTCTAAAACCTAAAATGCAACATCCACATAGCAGTTATTTTAGTCATATAAAGATGTGTAAAAAATTTTGAATTTTTTTATCAGGAGCAGTTTCACTCAAGAACACCTTTTTAATAAAAAATGCTTTGTTGACACCTCTAGTGTTTCCCAGTTGTATTGAATCAGCTAGTTATGAAAGTGATTACAAGTGTACAGACGTATCTAAAACTGCGAAGGTCGCTCCTGTGGCAAATCAAGGAGAGTGGACTTCAATTGAATGCATTGCTGTAAAGAGTAAACATACATTTAAAAAGCACTGTACACAAAATCAGTGGTTTTGCGACATTGTGATAAAATCGTCCAATAGCTGTTTATGTATAATACATTTATTTTTTAATTAACATGAATATTACAAATGCCATGAAAAATAGGACACTAAGTATGCAATCCCATGAAATTATACAATGTTTTAAAATATGTGTAGGGGTACCTGAGTGGGTACCTGCTTTGACAGGTAAGTTCATTGTATGTTTAAAAATATTTAGCAAAGAAATAATATCTATTAGTTTATGTTTGTTTTGTAAACAAGTATTTTGAATATTTTTTTGACTACAAACAAAATATACAAAGATCTATTGATGTATAACATGTCAAGTAATTGAATCAAACAATCATCTTACTGAACTATAGGTTCTAACTGTTAAAAATATTAATATGAGCTTTGTAGAAGAATTTAACTATAAAGGTAGAACAGAAACCATAAGTCAGGCATTTCACCAGCTTGAGTTTTGTTGGAGAAAGTGATCAAATAACAGAAAAATATATTGATTGACATTAAACATTTAAGATTATAGAATTGTAATCAATTTTACTGTGAAACAGGTAACAAATAAAAAACTGAAGAGCCAATTGATCTGACAGTCTTGCATAACCAAAGTTCTCTGTTAGTCTGGCCTTGGTGGTTTCACATATTTCTGTAGACCTGTACAGCAATGTGATTGAAATTAGTGTATCTTAATTAGTATTTTTAATAGAACTAGACAATAGTATGTCTAGTTCTTCATTGCAGTGAATAAAACTAAAGTCCTTGCCAAGGGGTTAGGTCACCTATTTATATGATCTCAGTTGTAAACAGATCAAAAAGTATTAGGTATTAAATAATTCTAAGGAAGAAAATATGTAAAAAAATAATCTGAAAAAAATTATATTTGCCAAAATATATAAAGTTAACCATTAGCAGACCTTCTTGTAAAATATAGCCAATGTTACAAACTGATAACACAAACTTTAAACCTATATTAGCTTATTTAATGTAAATAGCTTAGAGTTCTTTATATCTAATCCATATTACAATGTAATGAAGTTATAGTCTGTAATACAAAAGAATGCATCATTAAAATTTATAATCTTCACATATATATAAATTGGAACCTACACAACGCTTGTGGTAATGAGGATATAATAGGTCCATATCCTTGTGAATTATCAAATAATTCAAAAAGTGGGGCAGCTACTAGCTTATAGTTTTTTGGAACTGCAAATAATGCTTTTTCTTGTAACTGAACCAAAAATAAACGTTTATGTTCTTTTGGTTTGGTTATATGAGAGGCAATATAAGGGTATTGTGGTGGTTCAAAATTGGGCCTCCACCAATTTCCAATTATGTCTTCTACAACCCACTCTTGTTTAACACCATCTAAACGACCCAAAGTCTCAGTTAATAATCTCTTCAAACCTTCAACTTCATCTTCTCCAGGATTTAATTCTCCACCAGGAAGTTTAAAAAAAGTTGTTCCGAGTTGCAAAAGAAGCACATGAGGCAAACCATGTTCATGTACTAATAATACACCTTCTACACTTCTTCTCATTCCAATTCTATCAAATTCATCACGCATACGTTGAAATCTGGCAGGTACACTTGGATCTTTCTCGAACAATGGCTCTTTTGTACCAAATATATAGTTTGTTAAAGGATACAAGTTTATAATTCGATTTATTGCTGTAGGCGTAAAAGTATTTGTTGGAGCTGTATTATTAGTAGCCGTTTGACTGTTTCTTCTTGGCCAACCGGTGCCCCCGGTTAAATTGTTCTGTTGTTCTCTCTTTACTTGCGAAGATGTCATAGCCATGATAGCTACTATTTATTATTAAACGTTTAACAATTTACACTTGCACTAGTACGGTATTAAATATTTATTTAGATATAAAACTTATACCAAACTTATCTAAGCTTTCAATAAGTAATGGAACATAAAGTTGATGGGTGGCAGGTGACATGTGATGTATTATGTCATGTCTTATATTTCTTTTGTGACCGTCCACGGTTCCTAGACTTACTCCGGTTGCCTCTTCCGACTGGGGTGGGCATGCTTGAGTTACGTCACAGGAGTACACAAGAATACAAAACCAATTTATTCGCGATTGAAACTGAATGTAGAGGGCGGGGCAGGTCGATTGCAGTGTCATGGCCGATATAAATGGTATAAACAAAAACAAACATTCGAATATTTACCATTGCTTTTCCATGTTTAGTTTGGTTTAAGACGAGTTATTTGTATCATTTAATAATGGAAATTAACCTTAATGATATCTTTGAGTATTGTGGTGAAGCAAAGAGTCCATTGGTTGAAGGGGAAGCAGTTTTCAAGTGATGAATTCCTAAATTTTAACTTTAATGTTTGGAACTGGCTTGTGTATTGATGATGAATCCTATTTTGTGTATACCTGGGAACCCAGAATATAATATTCTGTGTAATGTTTGCCTTAACGTATATATGCATTATTATATCTTATGTTTGAATATGTTAATTTTTATTTTATACTATTTTTTGACATATGTAAGTACTTTATTGTATATTAACATAAATAAATAACTTTAACTTGGCTTTATTGTAAAATAGTTCATTTGATTACATGAAATTAACCTTAACTTGAGATCACCTCTCAGAAAATATAGCACATGATTTGTCTTTAAAAAATTGCATAATAAATTATTTTTTTATATAATAATTGCATAATAAATTAGTTTTTCAGTTTATTCTAGATTGGATTTAAAATACTTTAACGTAGTCATAATGCTGAAATTTACTAAAAATAATTAATAATTATATTAAAATCAACAGCTGTCTGGTTTGTTTATACCACTTTTATGCCTGGTATTGCTGTATTATAAAACATTTTACTTGCCAAGTAAAATTTAGTTTGAAAGTAAAATAATTTACTCTGCAGATTTGCTTATTTTAAACACATAGTAAATTAATTCTGGAAGTAAATCTGCAAACTAAACTATTCCTTAGTTTTCTACCAAGTAAATATGACAGTTTCAATGTCTTTTCGGCTGGTGTGAAAATATTTAGATTTAATAATATTTTGAAATGTCTTCAGTATCATCAGTGTCAGATGTTAATTCTCCAACTGTATCTAGTGTTGATAGTGACTGGTATTTTTCAATAAATATACAGATGGATTGTGATGCAAATTTAAATGTAATCAATGTAGTTGCTAGATGGCCTGGTTACTCCCACAATAGTCATGTATTTGATAATTCTCTGATAAGAGCTCAGTTTGAAAACAATGAGTTTTGTGAAACATATTTACTGGGTGATAGTGGTTATCCATGCCGAAAATATATTTTAACTCCCATACATGATCCACAAACGCCAGCTGAAAGGAAATACAATTATACAATATATCCACGCACAGAATACAATTGAAAGAATGTTTGGTGTCTTAAAGAGAAGGTTTCCTTGTTTGTCTACGGGACCAATGGAATAGAAGCACCACTAAATTGATAGAAATAAAATCTTCCGTCCTTCCATGATACTTCAGGCCTTCAAAGCGACAACATCAAATCCTAATAAGAAGTCTCAGATTATGACACACCTCTACAACACATGAAGACTTGTTGAAGAGAGAAAAGTGTGTTATGTTTGTGAATATAAAGTGACAATGAAGCACATACAGTTGAAAGATTATATCACCTCATTCCAAAATGTAAAGAGTGTCTAGTCAGTGTAAATAGAGCTATTCCAATTATAGTGGCAATTTGTGTATTGCATAATATATGTAGAAGGAGGAATGATGTGCTGACTGATAGTGAAGATGGCAGTAATCACGCGGAGTCAGAAGATAAAAATTTAAACAAGGTCACTAGAAATCAAGATAATTTTGCTGTAAGAAATGCTGTCATTCGTACTGCATTTATTAATTAAATAAAATGTTTATTTTAAAATTATTTACGGTTCAATAAAACATAATATAAGAATTATGAGTGTTTTAATTATTGTATATGTATTTTTAATTTAACAAAAAAAGTGTTGACAATTCAAATAGTCACAGAAATAAAATTAACTTAATTGTGCCAACTTTTTCTTATTAAACTCTGGTAATAAATCTATGAAACAAACTAAATATAACACCAGTAACTTAATGAATATGATATTTATGATACTATAATGAACATGTATTTTTATTACAGAATTTTTCTACAATAAATACATACTTATAAGAAAGTGTTTATACCCACTTTTAACAGATAACTTTGTGAAAAATAGGCAAAATGTTACGGGATCTATTAGTATTTCATTTATTTATAATATTCTCAAGCGATACATTGTCATTTCAAGGAAGTCATGAAAATAAGATCATATCAGCAAGTAGATACATAATCCTTTCATTTTACGGTATTTGAAAAACAAAGTATGTACATATATTTCAGTTTCATTGTTCAGTTTTTTGTGTTTATTATTATTCTTGAGTAAAGTGTTTGATTTTAAGACGGCAAAATGGAATTTGTGTTGTAAAAATATTAGATGAAATAAGCATTCCTTAACTTTTCCAGAGGATACAGCAAGGTTTGTAAATTATTATTTCCTCTTAAATATTGTTTGGGTACCAGTATATGATGTCATTTATATGATACTTCTACAATAATAAGATAACCAATTTTTATTTTAATAACTAATTTACAATAATATAAAATTAACCAAACGGTATTAAATTTCTAAATTCTCGAACTCAACCCCATATTGATGTTTCAGTTGTAGAATCTTTTCTTTAACTGCCAACTCTTTTGTGTCTGTTTCTCTTTTCTCTGTTTCCGTTTCTGTTTTTCTAATTTTAAAACGTCTCTACTTAACTCTTCCTTTTCTTTTCTAATTTTAAGAATACTTAATTTTATTTTTTCCTTCTCTGAATCTTCTTCACACTTATTATTCTTTTTGTGATGTGGGACTTAAAGGCAAACTAAATGCACAACCAAATACTTACCATGTCGAGATAGCATTATGAGGTTTTTTCCTGGTTTTTCCCTCATAATTTACTATGGAATCACTAACAGGAGAATTTTACTGTCATCATGGCATGTGTTTGTCTTTTTAAAGATGAATTACATGCTATGATTTTTTTCTGACAGATATTCTCAAGTTAATGTTGATTTCATGTAATGGAATGAACTATCTTATAAGTAAAGTCGTTCCAAGAGCACAACTCAACAATATTGGCAATATCATTTTAAAGTCGTCTACTTTAAAATGCATAATGTATGTCTGAATTGTCAATATAAATGAGTCAGATAAAATTAAATTATTAGAAGAATTTTTCACTAAGTAACAAAAAAACAAAATTTGTTTTTAGTGTTTGTATTTTGAGAACAATTTCTGAAGTGGAAATTGAAATGTTAATAAACATATTTTAACCTTTAATTGGGGCTTATTCCCAGTTAAATAGTAATTAATTTAAAATGCCACAAGAAAATAGCTTCAGAACAACATTAATTACATATGTTTTACCTTTCTGTTACTGCTTGGCATTCTGCAGGGGTGACAAGAAATTTAACATATCTTGGCAACAGATGTTCTACCATCGCATCAGTTACTTCTGTCAATACTTTACTAAAAGTGGACCTTTCCATGGTAAAAAAAATAAAATATAGTATATAATAAAATAAAAAGTAAATAAAATATAACATATTGGAATATATTCACTCAATTCTTAATATAAACAACATATCTTGGTTTCATGTGCTAAAGCATTTGATCTTTGCACTTGTCTTAGATGGGGCTGGAGACTTTCGAACCAAATGCAAAGACAATTCCCTCGATAACTTAAATATCTTTTGAAATACGGCTTCCACTAATTCCACTGGATTTACCAAATCTCGCAAAAGTCTTCTCTGAATGTTTTCTTCATCCCTATCAATAAAATAATTTTGTTTACAAAACATAACCTAAATAAATAATATACTATCAAAGAATATAGACGCTTATAAGCGTCTATATTCTTTGATACTATAATTAAAAATATCTTTAACAAACCTTCTAATAGCATCATCTAATTCTTCTAATAACTCATCGTTTAGAATCCGGCCAAAATTCTGGACTAAATAATTCATTTTATATTTTTATTAACTACACGTTATTCCCATCTACAAATAGTATGAGATTAAATCATCTCTTTAAATTGAACCTGTTATCAGAGAATATAATATATATTTTTAGAATATAACGTAAATGCAGGTTAACGTGCACGTTATTTAACATTTATTTTATTTATAAAACATTTTTGTTTTGATACATCCATCCAATCACAGGGCTGATTTTTAAGATTCAAATTACGTCACAGGAGTACAGTTCAGCTTAATGTTCATTGGTTAGGCGGAAGAGGCAACCGGAGTAAGTCAAGGAACCGTGGTGACCGTCTGGAACGGACTACGCTAAATATTACAACCTACATTTGCTGTGAGTGGTCACAACATAAGGAGTGTCTTCTTTGTTTTATTACAGTACATGGATATTGTCTTTTTGCGATAATACTCATCAAGTTAGATTCTAACTCGATGATAATACATAATACTTTACAAAACAAGATAAGTCAACGCACATGTTCTTGTGACGTAACCCCGTGACAGCAGCGCAAATGTTTCTATGGATAATAATAAATGTTTCTATAGATAATAATATATACTAATGCCCATTATAATAGAACTTGAAGTAATACTTTATTTTTGATAGGTCTTTAAAAAAAGTTACTTTGGATGTATGTAGTGAACTAGAATCAAGGTTAGTAGATATTTAAGTAGGTTGTCTCGTAACTATGTGGGCGAAGCGAGGGCACCGAACAACCCGAAGGTGCACTCGACTTGGCGGGAATTGTTCGCGCATGTGGTTTGCGCATTGTCAGCGGCCATATTTTAAGTTAACACTTAACAATCACGTCGTTGACGTTGACACGATCATTTTGAGGTTATTGTTATCAGATCATATTTGTTTTGTTAATAATTTGATTTTGTGCAATCGTAAATATGGATATACTGAATAAAAATACAAGCAGATCAAGATGTGCGGCAATGAACTGTAAAAAGAGTTATTCAAATTGTACTTACGGGTTTTACCATTTTCCATCAGATGAATCAAGGTAAGCATTTTTAAATTCATAATATTTTTATAAACTTTGACTATATAATATGCATACCTTATAGGGTACTTGAAGAGTTCGTTGTAACTATAAAACTTTATTAGTATATGGGAAATAAGTCAATACTCACAATCTTAAGTAGTTTTTATTTAATAAAGTTGGTGAATTTTGGGCAAACTGTTTCAAGGCTTACAATATTTGCTCTATAATCATGATCACGATCAAATTCACCAATTTTATTAAATAAAAACTACTTAAGATTGTGAGTATTGACTTATTTCCCATATACTAGTATTATGGACTCATATTAGCAACCTTTTCATCATTTATAGAACTTTATATTTATAAAATATTGTTGAAAACATTCTTAAATAATTTGTGATTGTAGAGCTGAAAGATGGGCGTTAGCAGCAGGTAGGAAAGACCTAATTCCGAGTAGAGAAACACTGCATATTACCCATCGACTGTGTGGAGCCCATTTTGAAAAAAGAATGTTCACCATTAATGAAACTAGGAACAGATTATTATGTCAAGCAGTTCCAACTTAGTTCCCGTTCTTGGAAGGTTCCACAAGTGGTGTATTGGCAGAACATAATTACAGCAGTATCCAAAATGTCCCACATGATAGCAGTAAGTAAAGTAGATAACTTTTCCTATTATGTATACAGATAATAATATATAAATCTAAAAGTGTACAGAATTATTTTTAAAATAGCAATATGAGAAAATGAATATTAAACAAATATTATTTATTTGTAACTATTTACAATTTTTACATTAGTAAGTATATTTAAGAAGTATTTGTTGTTAAAGTTGTTCGGTGGCGAGGGGAAGGCAGAATGGTTACGTCATACGACAACGTCAAATTTGACAGTTGATGGATAGTTGTCTGCACGTCTGTTAAGTCTGTTTAAGTTCACGTTTGTATTAGTTCGTTTATTTGTTTAGTTTTTATTTTTAAGTATAGCTATAAGGAAAATATTATTTATAGAGACTTATTATTTAGTTATTTGTGTACATAAACACTTGTGAAGTGATCACTTATTTATCAGACCGATAAACTCAGGAATTAAAAATAGTTTCTATTATTTAAAAATTCAGGGCATGAACTAACAAACCTATAGCCTGAAGATTTGTGCTTGAAGGACTAATCATTTTTTGTATTTTAATCTAATAATAAATTATTTATATTACCTATTTATATTACCTATTTGTTTTTTTTTGCCTACCACTAGATATGATAAGAATGCTGAAAATTCCAGGAAAAACATAACAAGTTATAGTATTTATAAAGTCAGTTGAAACATTTCCCTCCGACTCGATTTATAAGGGCAGTTCAATATTACATCTACCGGTAATCAAGTTAAAGTATAAATAACACGCGTCAATGTTTCAAACCCATTTGAACAATCCCCGTAGTTCGTAGGAAATAGATCGAAGAAAGAGGGAAGGAAAGATACATCCCATCAAATAAATATTGCACATTGATATGTTATTAAAAATCACCAATATTTAACACGCTACTTGGAGGTCACCTTCTAGCCGGTGGCGAAGGGAACAGATAAGAAACTCTGTTTAATTATACCAGTGCTGTACACCTAAAATGTTTATTATTTTACGAAGTATAATTAAATCATGATACTGTCAATATGGCCTATTGCCCTTTAATTATAAATTATTTTTGTTACTTAATATGACATATTAAAAACTTTTGTATACACTTATGTACTTTACGACAGCTTTAAGTAAATTAAAATCGTCCTTTTTCTGTTCTTCATTAATCTATATTTGATTATAGAAACAAATGATGCGCCCATGTCTGGTAATATGATATTATTCTTTTAAGGTTTGTCGGCAACTAGGTTTTTGGGTGTTTCAACTGACTTTATAAATACTATACTACATATTTAGTATTTTTGCTTTTGAACTTTTTCTACTGTTTTTTGGGTTTTTGTACGAAATAAACTGTTATCTCCATTTAAAACACACAATATTATCAATATAAAGAATTCTATTTTTTGACATCAGACTATTGATTTAAAAAAAAATTGATATAATTACTAATATAAGAACCACTTAACATCCCTATACCCAAGAAAATCCCAAAATATATTGCAAAACATAAGTTTTTAAACCTTTTATTAGCATTGAAGCTTATGGCAATTTTAAAAGTGTCGTATGGGTGACGTATTCCCGCCTTTAAAAAGCGAGCATTTGATTGGTCTATAGTTACGAGACAACCCACGGTTCGTAGACTTACTACGGTTGCCTCTTCCGACTGGGGTGGGGATGCTTGAGTTACGTCACAGGAGTACACAAGAATACAAAACCAATTTATTCGCGATTGAAACTGAATGTAGAGGGCGGGCAGGTCGATTGCACTGTCATGGCCGACAGGCCGATCACAGATCACCTACCTCCCTGATGTTCCACGACAATACTTTAGTTGGATATGAAATTCAGCGCTCCATAAGATTAGTATCGGAACTAATTCAAGCGAGAAATTACGCGGGAAATTCAAATTTTAATTTTGGTGGGAAAATTTAAATAAAGTTTAAAATTTTTAAATATAATTTGGTATATTTGAAAAAAAAATGCATAACATTTTTAATTTCAAATATACACAATACAATTTAGGAAAAATAAAACAAAATGTAATTTATTTATTTATTTAATACTTGTAAAACAACTTTGTAATTTAATATAGAATAAAAATATGCTATTATCACTGAAAATTGTACAATTTTATGGAAAAAGCTTACAAAAAAGTCAGAAAAATAGCAATTTAAAATTTACTGAAATTACATAAATCGTCAATATCACAAAATAAAACATAATAAAATACACAATGTATTGCAAAATTTAAATAAATTGCATAATAAATCCTTACGAACTAATACATTTTAATACAAGTTTCTGCATGTGATACTCAAATATATATTTATACAAATTGTTTAGTTACTTGTAAATAACACTATTCGTTAAGAAACTCTTCTACTGAATAATATGATCTTTCAGATAGATAGGATTTTGTTCTTTTACGGAACTCAAGGAAAGAAGTTGCAGATTTAAGTTCATCAATCAGTTATTTGTTCTCTAATATCAAATATTTATTGGACTCACCATACAAATGTAAGCTAGGAATTGCATTTTTATACAATTTATGACTCCATGAAGAAACAAACTTATCTTCAAAGTGTCTGTGGCAGATTCGTTTTGTTTTATAAACTGTACTAGCATTCATCATATCTAAATTAGGATTATTTATAACACTAAGCCACTTCCTAAATCGTGTAATGTCTTCATCAGGATTTGGAAAGGTATGTCTAATTAATGACGAATTAGTACATTGTAGGATACAACATTTATTGTGAAAAGCCATATTTAACTGATTATTATTAATCTGCAAAATACTATTTGAACACCGCCAGGAACATTTAAAACATATATCACTGAGGTAGGTGATTTGTAATTTACAAACTAACAAAATCAAAATATAGACGCTAATATGACAATTGGCGATTGACAATTATAATTCTTTTCTTAGTTGTGTTCTAAACCTAAACTGCAGAGTAAAAGTAGAGACAGAGTAAAGCGACATCTGAAGATTAGTATCGGTACTACAAATGACATTAAGTTTAGTTTGACCTTGAGCTACCTACGTGAAACGTCTAGTTATTAGTGGTCTGTGAGGCCGATATAAATAGTATAAACAAAAACAAACATAACATTCGAATATTTACCATTGCTTTTCCATGTTTTGTTTAGTTTGGTTTAAGACGAGTTATTTGTATCATTTAATAATGGAAATTAACCTTAATGATATCTTTGAGTATTGTGGTGAAGCAAAGAGTCCATTGGTTGAAGGGGAAGCAGTTTTGAAGTGATGAATTCCTAAATTTTAACTTTAATGTTTGGAACTGGCTTGTGTATTGATGATGAATCCTATTTTGTATATACCTGGGAACCCAGAATATAATATTCTGTGTAATGTTTGCCTTAACGTATATATGCATTATTATATCTTATGTTTTTAATATGTTCATTTTTATTTTATACTATTTTTTGACATATGTAAGTACTTTATTGTATATTAACATAAATAAATAACTTTAACTTGGCTTTATTGTAAAATAGTTCATTTGATTACATGAAATCAACCTTAACTTGAGATCACCTGTCAGAAAATATAGCACATGATTTGTCTTTAAAAAATTGCATAATAAATTATTTTTTCTTTAAGTTTTTCAGTTTATTTTATATTGGATTTAAAATACTTTAACGTAGTCATAATATTGAAATTTACTAAAAATAATTAATAATTCTATTCAAATCAACAGCTGTCTGGTTTGTTTATACCACTTTTATGCCCGGTATTGCGGTATTATAAAACATTTTACTTGCCAAGTAAAATTTAGTTTGAAAGTAAAATAATTGACTCTACACATTTGCGTATTTTAAACACATAGTAAATTAATTCTGGAAGTAAATCTGCAAACTAAACTATTCCTTAGTTTTCTACCAAGTAAATATGACAGTTTCAGTGTCTTTTCGGCTGGTGTGAAAATATTTAGATTTAATATTTTGAAATGTCTTCAGTATCATCAGTGTCAGATGTTAATTCTCCAACTGTATCTAGTGTTGATAGTGACCGGTATTTTTCAATAAATATACAGATGGATTGTGATGCAAATTTAAATGTAATCAATGTAGTTGCTAGATGGCCTGGTTACTCCCACAATAGTCATGTATTTGATAATTCTCTGATAAGAGCTCAGTTTGAAAACAATGAGTTTTGTGAAACATATTTACTGGGTGATAGTGGTTATCCATGCCGAAAATATATTTTAACTCCCTTACATGATCCACAAACGCCAGCTGAAAGAAAATACAATTATACACATATCCGCACACAGAATACAATTGAAAGAATGTTTGGTGTCTTAAAGAGAAGGTTTCCTTGTTTGTCTACGGGACCAATGGAATAGAAGCACCACTAAATTGATAGAAATAAAATCTTCTGTCCTTCCATGATACTTCAGGCCTTCAAAGTGACAACATCAAATCCCAATAACAAGTCTCAGATTAGGACACACCTCTACAACACATGAATACTTGTTTAAGAGAGAACAGTGTGTTATGTTTGTGAATATAAAGTGACAATGAAGCACATACAATTGAAAGACTATATCACCTCATTCCAAAATGTAAAGAGTGTCTAGTCAGTGTAAATAGAACTATTCCAATTATAGTGGCAATTTGTGTATTGCATAATATATGTAGAAGGAATGATGTGCTGACTGATAGTGAAGATGGCAGTAATATTTACGGTTCAATAAAACATAATATAAGAATTATGAGTGTTTTAATTATTGTATATGTATTTTTAATTTAACAATTCAAATAGTCACAGAAATAAAATTAACTTAATTGTGTCAACTTTGTCTTATTAAACTCTGGTAATAAATCTACGAAACAAACTAAATATAACACCAGTAACTTAATGAATATGATATTTATGATACTATAATGAACATGTATTTTTATTACAGAATTTTTCTACAATAAATACATACTTATAAGAAAGTGTTTATACCCACTTTTAACAGATAACTTTGTGAAAAATAGGCAAAATGTTACGGGATCTATTAGTATTTCATTTGTTTATAATATTCTCAAGCGATATATTGTCATTTCAAGGAAGTCATGAAAATAAGACCATATCAGCAAGTAGATACATAATCCTTTCATTTTACGGTATTTGAAAAACAAAGTATGTACATATATTTCAGTTTCATTGTTCAGTTTTTTTGTTTATTATTATTCTTGACTAAAGTGTTCGATTTTAAGACGGCAAAACGGAATTTGTGTTGTGGAAATATTAGATGAAATAAGCATTCCTTAACTTTTCCAGAGGACACAGCAAGGTTTGTAAATTATTATTTCCTCTTAAATATTGCTTGGGAACCAGTATATGATGTCGTTTATATGATACTTCTACAATAATAAGATAACCAATTTTTATTTTAATAACTAATTTACAATAATATAAAATTAACCAAACGGTATTAAATTTCTAAATTCTCGAACTCAACCCC